TCTGAACGGCCTGGGCTCTGAGAGAAAAGCCTCCACCAGGCCTCACTGCTTTTCGGGGGGTGGGGGTGGAGTGCTTCTTCCACACCTCGACAAGGCATTTGCTTGGAATCCTAATTAAGAAGAAACACCTTTCTCTGCTCTTTGCCGCAGGGTCTGCTCTCCCGAGCCCAGAGAGCCGCCTGTGACAGTGACGGCTGATGGCCCCGGACCCTTGCACCAGCCGCCCTGACCTTCGTAAAGGCTGTGACTGACAGCCTGACCCCAGTCACTGCAGGGTGCGCTGTACGTGACAGGAGGAGAAAGAAAGGCAGACAGAGAAGTCCCTGCTGGCTTAGCGGGCAAACTTCCTAATAAAAACCAATTCAAGTTGTCAAGTTGAAGGGAAGAGTCAACAGTGACTTGCAAGGAGGGACAGCCTTCAGAGGAGGCTGCAGGGGCCAGAGGAAAGATGCTCCAATGAGGACCCAGAGTGGCATTCAGGGGAATGCCCTTCGCCAGTGCAGTCAGAGAAAACTCAGGGAGGAAAAGGAAGCAACATGCGGGCCTAGAGCAAGACGCACGAAGAACCACGTGGCCTGCATTTCAGTTGGAATCGCAGGGATGGGCAGGAAAAGGAAGGGCCCATCAGAAGCAATCCTGGAAACTCTGTGAGCAGGATGAAGACCAAGGCCACTGACATGATCCCTGAAAACCAGAGATGAGACCTGGAATCTTCATTCAAAACACAGTAGCTTAAATAAGTAAGAACATAAGAACATAAGAGACACCAATGTTGGATCAGGCCAAAGGCCCATCCAGGCCAACACTCTGTGTCACACAGGCTACAAGCATGGAGGGCTTCAAAAGGGAATTAAATAAGCATATGGAGCAGAGGTCCATCAGTGGCTATTAGCCACAAGGTATAGATAGGGGCTCTGGGGCAAGTGATGCTCTGTCTTCTTGGTGCTTGGGGGGGGGACCAACAGTGGGAGGGCTTCTAGTGTCCTGGCCCCACTGCTGGACCTCCTGATGGCCCCTGGTATTTCTGGCCACCGTGTGACACAGAGTGTTGGACTGGATGGGCCTTTGGCCTGATCCAACATGGGCTTCTCTCTTATGTTCTTATGTTCTTAAAATGGGATTGTTCAGGAGGGCCAGGGTACAGCCCAGCCTTGACTCAGTCCGCGCCGGCCAAGACGCGGCCTTCCAGGGGCCTGCACTACACCTACCCAAAAAACCAGAGGAGGCGGCACCAGTGTCCCCGTGGGTGAGCCCCAGCACACCAGCCGACACCGTGACAGCCAGCCCAGAGGAAGCACAAGGCCACCACCGCAAACAGGGCCTGAAGCACCCCAACATGGCCACTGGTGACATCGCTGGCTGGTGCCCAGGAATGGGGCTTGGTGGAACAGGGGACAGCAGAAGCAGTGGGGCAGCGGGCAAGGGGTTCCAGCCAGCCCAGCAAGGACAAGTGGGAAGAGGGGGCCCTTGGGGACGCCGAGCCTCAGCAGGCCGGAGGTGGAGATGTGGGGTGGTCGCAGCCCCATCCACTGGGCAGGCACGGAAGGGAGCGGGTGAGTGGCAGGCCCCAGAGTGGGCGGAGTCTGGCCCTCCTCCTTTAGTTACCTCCAGTGGGGCAGAACCAGGAGCAGACTGGGCCCAGGACCTGGGGGGCAAGCCCGAGGGTCATACAACAGGGAAATCTGCAACCCAGGGAGGGGGGAAACTGAGCCCGCAGAGCAGTGTTCCCTCTAAGCTGAGTTAGTGTGAGCTAGCTCACAGTTGTTTAGCCTCCGGTTCACACATTTTTGTCTTCACTCAGGAAGGATGGCTTCGGAGCAGACGAATTTAGGCAGCCGCCAAATCGCCCACTCACAACTTTCATGCCAGTAGCTGATAAAGTAGAATTTTTGCTCACAAGACTCCGCAGCTTAGAGGGAGCCTTGCTGCAGAGTGAGAGAGAGAATGTGAGCCAGTCCTTAGAAGGAAGAAGCGCTGGGTGACGGAACCCCCTCCCACTCTGAGGGGGAGGCCACCTGACCCCCCAACCAGGTCAGTGGGAGGCGGGAGGACCCGGCCAGCATGGGAGGAGCCACACAGGAGAGCATTTTTTTAATCAAAGGGATCGGATTGTAGTTTTAACGCCACTGAAAGGATGGGGGGGGCACTTCTTTGCATGATTGGCTGGATGTATTATACTGCCCTTATTGCATCGCTTTCTGCTTTTTAGGGTCCACAAGAAAGGCAAACCTTAAGTGAAGTAAATAAATATACTGTTCATAATATTAATATTACTACTAACAGGCGAGGCCTGGCGTGATCTGGTCCATGGGGTCGTGAAGAGTCGGACTCGACTGTGCGACTGAACAACAACAACACTGATAACTGTCACACTACTACTATTACTAACACTACCAATAATGTGACATGAGAGGGGATGACCGGTCCAGAGTCTGTTCTGTTCCTGCCACCTCAGAGGAGACAGACTCACTGCCACACACACACACACACACTAACTCGACACTCTGCTCTCTCCCACCCATGGCCGAGATTTCATCAGTCAAGAGTCTGGTGTCTCCAAACTCTCTGCAACTGGAGGGGCAAACAACTTGCTTCTTCTATAACAAAGCTGAAAGCCAAGACTCTGTCGAGGCGAAGGAGTTGATTTGTTATTCCCACACAACACAGGGAGGGAATGTCCAAGAGCTCAAGAGCAATTTATCATCCAGACAGACACACCCCTCTACCCTCCCTGGGGTAGACAGAGAACACAAATGCCACGGCAGGAGGGTACCGAAGCCACGGGGGGGCCACACTGCCCTGCCTGCAGTTCTGCTGCACCTGGCCTCCTGGCCTTGGGGTCTTCCCTGTCTCCAGCCCTCGGGGACAGAGAGGCACACCGGGAGGGGAATTAGACGCCAGGGTTGCCCCTTTGCACCCCAGAGCCCTCCCACGCTTCAGCCCACTTCCCACTGGACACTCTCCTCTCTCTGCAGCCTGACGCTTCCTTGCTCCTTCCCCATGTTCTGCCACACAAACCATTACAAACCAGAAATGTGGAAGGCAGCTTTCTACACAGATCCCCCGCTTCAGCCCACTTCCCACTGGACACTCTCCTCTCTCTGCAGCCTGACGCTTCCTTGCTCCTTCCCCATGTTCTGCCACACAAACCATTACAAACCAGAAATGTGGAAGGCAGCTTTCTACACAGCGAGCAGCTCTGCGTAGGTTTGCTTAGCGTGTCTAGTTTCTCTCAGGCGGGGGAGGAGCCCCGACAGGCTTACATGCCACAAGCAACAG